TTGTTAATAGTAAGTAAAGACTTAGTATAATATATAGCCTCATAAATAAAATAAAACAATTATTATGAGATATTTAAACCCATTAATTAATCAAATTGGATTGATCTTTTACTATATTATTCATAAAAATTGCATAGTTATTTTATACAGTTATTTTCAAAAATCAAAGTTAAAATGTTGTTAGTTTGAATAAAATATATAATTTAATATATTATACTTAATTAAAAATATTGATCTATTTTAATTGAGCTCCTGATATCATTAACGATTATAGAATAGAAATATACAATTTAATTTATTTTAAATTTTAAAGATACAACTGCAAATTTATCATTATAAAACATAAAATAGACGGTAGATATTTTTTATTGATTCAGACAACAGATAATATGCAATTTGAATTAAAAAATAATAATAATCATCATTTAGAATAAATCATGTTGACAATAACACCTATTATTCCTAAAAATAGTAAAAAGAGTGTGATATCTAAGCAAAATTTGTTTGGTTGTCTAAATTTTAAAAGTAGGTCTTTTAATTATTTATTAGAATTCAATAATGTTAGATTAGTTTTATCAACTTATTTATCTAAGACTTTAAGCTAACTTTTAGTTTACTCTATTTTCTAAATTAGAATTAATAAAAATGATAGTTACATTTCCAATGGCTTATGCTTTAATTTTCATTTCATCAACACCATTAATTATAATATCTAATTTATCATCAATGATTCTATCATTTTATTCAAATCGATCTAAAGCCTCTTATTCGTCTTTAGTAATTTGATAAACAACTTCCCTGTTGGGTTTATTTTTGTAGAGTTCTATAAAAATTATAATTCATTTAATAAATTACATTATTATAAATCCTTAAGAAGCAATGGTTTTTCATTATCAGAATCCTCAATTCTCTCTCCTTACTCTCTTAATTTTAAATTTTCGAGATTCTATTTGTATTTTGATAAAATTTTTGTTCTAAGTTCTATTTCTTGAATTGAATATTTTTTTTGATTTCTACTCATTCTTTCAAGTGATTCCCCCATTTATTTAATCATTCTTTCAACTTCATGAATTTCATCTCTAATTTACACTCCTAATCAACATCATATTCAAACATATATACCCATAGCTATCTAATCTCTATCATTTCCATACTTAGCCATTTTATCATCTCTTTAATCTTGAAGTTTACTAATTTGAAATATCTTTGCAATTAACAACTCTTTAATAACATCAAATTCTCTTGATTTTTTTACTTTTTTTGCTTTCACATAAAGAATAAAATATACTGGCTTCTGCATTTCCTCCTAATTCTTTTTCTATTCTATAACATTTTTATATCAAATGGTGAAGTTCATTTTGATTCATTTTAAATAATTTTCAATAATAAATAGATTAATCTCACTTTTTCAAAAATAATTGCTTTTTATTTCTGATATTTAAGTTTTAAATAGAGTGCAAAACTAGTAAAAATATAAATATAATATCATCCTTTTATTCAGTTCATTATTCACTTAGGGATTAATTTACTGGTTATTGTTAACTATCTTTCATATCTTCTTGAGTAAAATTATATTTTAAAGAAACATTTATTTTTTATTCTAAAATAATCAAATAAATAAATAATCTACTGGTAAATGCTTAGTAAAAAGAGAATAGCATTTGTATATATCAATGACAAAAACATGGTAATTAATTAGAATTAAGCCTACATCATTTTTATTTTTGGAAATAACTATTACATTAAAATGATGCTTTTAATTGATCATTTTTTAAAATATTTCAATATTTTAATAATCTAGCTGTAATTTATTGTTAAACTATTTAAATCTCTTTACTTTAATATTTTTATATCTTTCTATCTAAAATTAGTACCAAAGAGTTCCAAATGTTTCACTTTCAGGTTTTTGTTAGTAGATCCAAAATAAGAGATTGTAATTGATAAAATCACTTTTTGATTTTTGTTTATTATTAATAAAGCTTAATTTATTTTTAATTTTAGAACTATTAAACATCAGTAAACTTCTAGGCTCTTTTATCAACTTTTTCATACTGATGATTTTTATTATAGTGGATTTAAGAATATTGAATCATTCAAATGCATAATGAAAATAAATTATATTAATAAAGCTTTAACAAATATTAAATTAGCTTTAATTTTTCGATATTAGAAAAATTGACAAATAATGAAAATTTAAATTGTCTAGCAGGATAACTAGAAGTAATTAATTTAAATTTAGGTTTGTATTATTTTAGTTAGACTTTTGGCAAAAATAAAGAGATATTTTGATTGGTTGAATTATTATCTTATTGAAAATATATTAATTTTCATAGATAGAAGATATCATTTTTATGAAATTGATGATTTTGATTATAAATTAAAAATTGATGTTTTTCGATCAAAAGATTGTTTATAATTGTAAAGATTGAGAATAAGAAAAGGATTTTTCAAATCAAGTATTTTAATTCAAAATCTTATTAGAGGATTCTGAGTTAGACTCTGTTTAAGAATTCTTATTGTGACATTTCTTAAGGATATTAAATATAAATTAGAAAATTGTTATCTTTTAAATATTCTTACTTTCACATGATTTTTTGGATTTTTTTATTAATATTATTCTTTTCCAATTACTAATGGACAATTAATAGAATGTTAATGAATAAAAGAAATTATCTGAAAAAATAAATGAGCTTTCTTTAAATGAAAGTATTTCAAATCTAATTTAATAAGCCGACGATGAGATTTAAAAAATTAAACAATGGAAATTATAGAAAGACGAGAGAATAAATGAATTATTAAGGAAATTTCCATGTGAATTTCGATAAATGTATGATTGTTTGGGTCCGGTTTATGAAATAAATGAAAAATACAAAATTTCTTACTAAATAGATGGGAGTATATATTTTGGCCTAGAAATGAATGGTATTAAAATAGGAACAGGGATTTAAATCTGGCCAGATTTAGGAAATATTTTGGATGGGTAAAAAGAAAAATAATTTATTAAAAAGAAATTGGGAAAATGATGTATTGAATGGATATTGTCGAATGGTGTATTCTAATAAAGACATGTATAAAGTAATGATAAAGGATTAGTTTTGAATGCTTATTCAGTTAGGGGAAGGCAAATGGTTTCGGAATATTTTAGTCTTAGAAAAGAATAGTGAAAGGTAATATAGAAGTAAGTAATTTAGGGATTTGGAAAGATAATAATTTATAGGGAGAAGGATAGGAGTTTAGAAAAGATGGTTAAAGATATTATGGATAGTTTTAGGATGGACAAAAAAATGGTTAAGGGATAATCTATTATAAAGATGGATGTAAGTAAGTGTTATAAAATGATATTAATTAGATATGAAGGAAGATTAAGAAAAAACAAATTAGATGGAATAGGAATAATGATTTGGAGTGATTGCAGTAAATATGAAGGAGAATTTAGGTTGGGAGTGATTAAGGGAAAGGGAATATATTTAAGTGGAAATGGATATAGTTTAAAGGGATATGTAAGTATTATTTAATTTATGGGATTAGTTTTAAGAAGAAGTTTAGAAAGATGGAAATATGAAGATTTAGAGAATAGTATTTATAAATGAGAGTGGATCAAAATTAATAATCGAAAAAATTAGATAACGATGACAATAGAGTTAAAAAATCAAATGATAATAATATATATATTGATATTTGCAGTTTTGTAGTATGAATATGATGAACTCAATGAAAATTGAATAATAATGTGAATATATGTTTAATTAATATGAAAAGAAAAAATTCGTTTTTGCCTTTTTTTAGCAAAATAATCCTTTGAAGGAATTCATTATTAATTACAATAAATGTTCAAAGTTGCCGTGTGTGCATTGTTAGTACTTGCCTCAACAGCCATTAACGTCTAATCCTCAATTTGGACAAGCAAAGACTAAAAGGCTTTTGCTTAAATTCATCAATCTGGTTGGGGTAAATTCATTTTGAACTTTGCTGAACTCCATTTAACAACAGGAGGTATCCTTTCTGAACTCAACTCTGAGATTGAGAAACTTGTACATATAAAGAGTTATTATTTTAATAGATTGGTGAATTGGAAGAGGAATTGGCTGGAGTTCATCATGAATTCAACAGAAGAACAGATGTCCACAACAGAGAAGTTGCCAGACTCGAATAAGAAATCTAAGATAAAGAGAGAGGTAAATAATTAGATATAGTATAAATTAGAATTGTTCAATGCTCACGATTTCTTCGATAATGTCCTCATCCCATAAGGAGAAAGATTTGCTGCCTAACTTGAATAATTATAAGAAAACATAGCTAATAACAGAAGAACACTTGAATAAGCTACAGTCTAAAGAGCCAATGATCATGAAACATTCGAAGCTTAAGTTGTTGAACATAATGATGCTATTTCTGCTATTGACGAATGCTTATAATTATTGAGCACATTAGAAGCACCATCTCTTGCTTAAATCAAGAAGGTCTAAAAGAATTTGGCTAAAATCTAAAACTCATTGAAAAAGCACAACTAATTCCAAATCTTTGTTAAAGTTTTATTAGAAATCACAGTTGATTCTAACTTTGCTGACTAAGGTGCTCTTAGAGATGTAATTATTTAATAATATAATTAAATAGATTGTTGTTGCTTTCAATAACTTAAGAGTTGAATTAGTTGATTCACTCAATTAAATCACTGCTGATGAAGCTGATTAAGTTGCTGAATTCAATGCTTAAGTTATATAATTGAACCAAGAACATGCTGAATTCTAAAGAGCTGTCGTTGTTAAGAATGCTGAAATCGAAGCTAACACAAGTATATATTCTAATCTAACAATTTATAGCCAAATAAGAATAAACTCTTGATTTAATTGATGAACTTGATGCTGATTTGGCTACCCTTAATGGATAATTGTAAGCTGAAAATGATGACTATGCCTTTGCCACTGATGTTTACAATGCAACTGTTGCTGAATACAATAAGGAAATTAATGCTGCCAATTAAGCTTTAGATTTGCTCAATCAACCAAGATTCCAAGACTATGTTAAATCATAACTCAAAGGAGCATGATCTATTACAAATATTACAAAAGCATATAAATTATTCTTAATTAAAAATTTACTTATAATCAAAAATTCAATTATGTAAAACAAAATATTGTTTTTTTTTTGGATGCTTTACTTACTCCAAATCATGACTAACATCCTATTCTTTAATAATTAATATTTTACATATTATTTACATTTTATTTTAATATTCTCTAACATATTTTATGAGATCACTAAAATTCAATAACAAAAGATCTATTTATAAATACGCAAAAAAATCAAAATGCGTTTCATTACTATTAAACCATTGATTTCTCTCCTTATTAATTGCGATTTTATCTATAATACTTAGGATTAAAAGAATCAAAATCAATTTATTGATGTCTATTCGCTTTAATTATCAAAACCATCATTTGGAACGTTTTTAGTATTATTTCAACGCCATAGTCAAAGATATCATAATTATCTAAATTTATGGCAAGGTTCAGAAATTTATTTTTAATAAAAAAATATTTATTGAATTCCAACAAAATATTTTTTTCTTTGTTAAATTTTTCTATCAAAAATACTTCTGATAACATCTCTCTATTTTTTTTTTAATTCACAATAAAAATAATGAATGAAAATTGTAATAAAATTTGCAATTATATATGAAGTAAGTAGTAGGCATGATGATAGTCATTAAAACAAAAAAATAATACGATATTAGTTGAATTATATAAGATAACCTTAAAACAAATTCAAAAGCTTAGAAAATTAAAATTTAACCTTTAATAATTTTAAATACAAGTTTTCTATTAGTGCTAGATTTTCAAATTTTTTGATCAGTTCGTTCTCTAATCTGATAGAAATTGATTAAATTTAATTATTAAAATAATTCTATAAATCATTCAAAAATGAATTAAAAAGAAGGTTAAGCATAAATTAAACTAGTTGTCGTTGGTGATGGCAGTGTAGGTAAAACCTGTGTGCTTCTAAGGTAATTATTTTTTTCATTCAAGTTACACAGCCGATAATTTTCTTACAGAATATGTTCCTACTGTTTTTGAGAATTACACGAAAACTTTAAATATAGATGGTAAGGAAGTTGATTTAAGTCTTTGGGATACTGCTGGTTAAGAAACTTTTACTAGTTTAAGAACATTGGCATATGAAAATACTGATATATTTTTAATCATCTATTCTGTCATTGATGAATCTTCATATGAAAATGCCAAAGAGAAGTGGTATTTAGAATTAAATGAAGGAAAGTTAAAAAAGGTTCCAAAGATTTTTGTGGGTAATAAAATAGATATCAGAAATACTTTAAATTAAAATCATATATAATTTGAAAAAGTAAGAATCTAGTTAATGTCTATAGGCATAATAGGAATTGAAAAATTATAATGCTCTACATAAAGAATGTTCTGCGTTAACTAAGGAAGGATTGGAAGATTTATTTTAAGAAGCTGCAAGACAAGGATTTAAATATTATTAATAACAATAATTATTTGCATCAGCAAAAGACCAACCAATTTCAGGTAATGAGCGTTCATGTTGTTAGACTTTTTGATAAAACTTATCTATAATTTATAATCAATTAATATTTAAAATTCCAATCATATGATGAACTAAAATTAATTCTCCAATATATTATACACTAAAATGATAAAAATTTTAATACTTATTTTTTGCTAAATTTTTTTTCATTTCTAATTCTTTTTTTGTTTGATCCTTAAAAAACTCATTATATTTATATTCTGCATCAAGATTAAATTTATTTAGTTAATCTTTGTAAACTTTAAGTTGTTATTCAAAAGTGCCAAAATCAGGAAGGTTTACTAAGCTTAACAATTATGAAAAATAAGCTAAGTAAATATTGTAATAAGTATCTAAAAGCTCTTTTAGTGGAATAATTGAAAAAGGTTTATAATAGCACTTGTTAGGAACAAAATAAACTTACAGAGAAAATCATCATGTTTTTAGAATTTTTTTTAAATTCTCCAATTTTTACTAGAAAATCTGAATGAGTAAATTCAATTCCTTTGCCTTTGGATTCTTTCTTGGGTTTTTTACTGAATACTGATGCACTGTCTAATATATTCATTAATTAGTTCGAAGACCTTATAATACAAAGACCATTTCCTTATTTAAAACTATCATCCTAAACAAGTTTAATTTATTAGTCATAAATAAAATATTGATTATCCCCTTCACATAATTAAATGACATTTTGTAAATTTTCCTAATTTTTATTTGATGATTGCTATAATTGTAAAACTAAGTTTTTTTTGATCTTTTACTTTATTGATTAGTTGATTCTAAAATATCAACTTTAAAAGTCCATTTCTTTTCATTTTAGATTATGAAGAGCAATTAAAGGTTAGAGATAAATTAAACATATTGATTTGACTCAAAGCAAAAAACACAGGACATAAAATAATTATTAAAAATATTAAAAATATAAAGTATGTATTTAAATGGGAATATATGATTTATTCTATATCGACAAGATAAATTAGAATAATCTAAACAATTTAAATAAAATAGTTGATATTTGATCAGCAACAACCAGAATCTTTTTATGTTTCAATTTAAACAGCTTCAGTGATTGATTGATTAGTTTTTTTTTGAGTGAAGATAGAATTGTTTTTATTTTTGGAATGAATTTCTATATTAAAAATGAATAAGTATACCATTGATTAGTTAATTAAAAGCTTGATGAACATTTGAACCATCTTTAGCGCTAGTTTCTAAAAAGGCAATTTTATGTTTAGAAGCATAAGAAGATGAAACATCAGAGGAGATTTATCTTAAATGTCTAAGATCTGATTTATTGCCAACTAAAATGATTGATATATCATTAGATGTGCTTTCTTAAATTTCCTAAATTATTAATAAATGAATCATACTTTCATCCATCTATCAACATTATCAAATGTAGATTATTTTGTAATATCAAAAACAATTAAAGCTCCTGATGCTCCTTTATAATAAGATGAAATAATCGCTCGGTATCGTTCCTAATTTAATAAAACTATTTACCTATCCAGCTGTATCCCATAATTATGCTTTAATTATTTTATCATCTATAACAAGTTATTTGTTAGCGAATTCCACCTACAAAATCATTAATTATTACACCAACTGTAGTTTTAGTTTCTTCTGAGAATTCTCCTCTTGTGAATTAAGTCATGATATTAGTCTTTCCGACTCCTGAATCTCCTATGATAACTATTTTGTATTGATAATCGTAATCGTCAGAATTTCTCATTCTTAAAATAAATAATTAATTGTATGATTGTATAATTGTTTAATGATATTTAGCATAATTTATTGTATTATTAAATGTTAAGAAATAGTTGATTATTTAGTAATATTATTATATTTTTGGAAAGAATGCATATTCAGAAAAAGGCTCACTCATAATTAAATCTTGCAAAAAATGATAGCTTTGAGACACCTGAAAAAAGAAGTCATCATATGCATCATAATTAAGTAGAAAGTACTTAGAAATAAACATTATAATTGGATATAGCAAATTACAATCATCCTCCTGATTTATAAAAATTGATTCCATTACCTAATATCTTCAGTGCTTATAAACGAATAAAGAATGTTATAACAAGAACTCCTACATAAAAATCAATAAAACTATCTGAATATTTTGGAGCAAATGTTTACATTAAGAGAGTATAAGATTAAATAAATTTAAGGAAGATTTATAAATAGTGAGAAGTTATAAATTAAGAGGGGCATATAATAAAATAATATCAATTCCTGAAAATGAGAGACATAGAACAGTGTTCTGTGCAAGTGCAGGTAATCATGCATAAGGAGTAGCTTATGTTTGTAATTTATTGAAAATAAATTGCATAATATACATGCCTACAAATACTCCAAGTATAAAGTTTAATGCTGTAAAGTAAGTTTAAATAAATATAGTAGATCTTGGGGAAAACAATATGCTTAAATAGAATTAGTAGGAGATACATTTGATGAAAGTTTCAGAGCAAGTAGAGAAAGATGTACTACTGAAAATGGGATATATGTTCATGCATTTGATGATGAGAAGATAATTGAAGGATAAGGAACAATTGCAGTTGAAATATTAGAAGATATTAAAGAAGATTAAATAGATTTTATGTTCTTCCCAGTAGGAGGAGGAGGATGTGGAGCAGGCATTTCTTCATATTTTAAATAACTCAGTCCTTAAACTATTCTAATTGGTGTAGAACCTGAAGGGTATGTTATATCCATTTCTATTTTAGATCTCCTTCGATGTATGAGGCTATAAAATAATAAAAAATAGTTGAATTAGAAACTATCAATACTTTTGTAGATGGTGCTGCAATTAAAAAGTCTGGTGCCAAACCATTTGAAATATTAAATTCTGTATTAAAGGAAGTAGTTTTGATACCTGAAGGTCATGTATGTACTACTATGATGAAATTATTTAATGAAGAAGGTATTCTAGTTGAACCAGCAGGTGCATTAGCAATAAGTGCTTTAGATAGATTTAAAGATGAAATAAAGGGCAAAACAGTAGTTTGCTTAATTTCTGGAAGCAATAATGATTTAGGGAGAATGACAGATATCAGAATGTTATCAGAGATTCATTAAGGATTATAATATTATATGTTTGTCAACTTTTTCTAAAAACCAGGTGCTTTAAAATAATTCTTAATTTAATGTTTGGGTATTATTCTAAAATTATAAAGGTCCTACTGATGAAATAACTAATTTAGAATATACCAGAAAAAATAATAGAGAAAAAGGACCTGCTTTAGTTGGAGTAAAGGTAAGAAAACCATAAGATTTTGAAGCAATGACGAATAAAATGGAAGAGTTAAAAATTACACATAGAATATTATAGCCAAATCAAGAAATATTCAAAATGTTATTATGATTAGAATAATAATACAAATATTACAATAAAATATAGATTTCATCTTTTAATACATATTTCTATATATCAATATTTAATAAATGAAATAAATTCTCATTTTCATATTGAGTTTATATCAAGTATTGAGTTAAGATAAATTATTGGCTGTACAGGCAATTTGGAGACATGGAGCAAGAAATCCTTACTATTGTAATTTTAAATGTGATTTAAATGTACCAAAAGGAGATGCAGCATTATTAACACCTACAGGAATGAGATAATAATATGTATTAGGGAAATGGCTTAGATAAAGATACATCATAGATTTTCCACTTTTATCACCTACATTTAATGAAAATGAAATATATATAGAAAGTTCAGATGTTAATAGGTATTCATAGAATCAAAAATTAATAGGACTTTATAAAGTGCTTATTGTAATTTATAAGGAATGTATCCAGAAGGACCTATTGTACCTCATTTCGAAGGTGAAAATGCTTCATTACTTTTACCTCCAAATGAAGGTGCTACTGTTCCAAAAGATATTAAAGATTATGCTTTACCTAATAAAATCTCATTGATACCAATACACACTAAATAAAAGAGTATGGACTATGCTATTGCTATTTCATGTCCTAATGGTGCTAATATGACTGCTGATAATAAAAAAACAGATTTATATAAATAAGTTAATGATGCAAGTTCGTAATTATATAAAGATTTTAATGAACAACTAAAATTAACAGGAGAAGAACAAGTTAATGATTTTGTTATTCTCTCTAATTATAGAGATACTTTTATTTGCAATAAGTATAATGGAGATGAAATGCCAAACTTAACATCAGAGACATTAAAGTAAATTGATGATGTTGCCAATTTAGCTTTTAGTCTTGAGAAATTTTAAACACCATTGTAAATAATTTAAATCATTTTAGATAAGTTAAACTTTATTCAACTCCTTATTTTAAATAAGTTCTTGATCATTTTGACAGTTTTTTGAATGGAACATCACATTTTAAATATTATGGATCTTCATCTCATGATTCTACTCTTTTAGCTTTATTATCTGGACTTAATTTAACTAGTGCTCAATGTTAAGCTGATATTTATTTAAAAAAAAATGTAACTCATAAAAATTGTATTACTTAAGTATAATAAATATTATTAATATATATTAGTATGTTGAATTTGCATCTAACATTATTTTTGAACTTTATAATAATTCTATAACAGGACCTTATGTTAAAGTATTATATAATGGTGAATATATGCCATTATGTTCAGATGAAGGTTAAACATGTAAATATTCAACTTTACATTCTATTTTTATGGCATAGTAAGTAGATTATAAGAAAGAATGTGGAATTGCTAATAATTCTGAAATACCTGTAATAATGTTATTTATTTCATTTATAAAGATCGAAGAAGAAACTCCTGGTTGGGCATTAGCATTTTTCATCATTGTAGTACTCTTATTAGCCGGAGGATTAGCAATGGTCATTATTATTAAAAAAAAAGTAGCAGATTCAGAATGAGAATTTAATAATATTCTATATAATTTAAAATATATATATCAAGCTAATTTTTCAGTTATCATTACTCTCTTCACTTATCTTTAAAAATATTCATCATAAAATAATGTTCCTGAAGGCATCAAATATATAAACTTTTTTAACAAATCTATTCTACTTTATTCAATTTTAGATGAATACTCTAAATAGTGAATTGTCACTAATTCAAATAAAATAAATAAAGATACGCAAATCTAAAATTTAATTCTAATATTACAAATATCTCTAATTACACATTTGCTGTTAATTATTTAAACTCTTCTTTCAGAGAACTTATTAATTATGAGAGCACATCTGATACAAGAGAAGCTCCTTCTAATTCTAATTTTTGATATGATACTCTTGTATCAAAACGATTTTCCTCATATTCAGTTTTTACACTATTAATCATATAATTTAAGGAATTTATTACTCCTTTTGTCAAAACACCTTACATTACCTAATCACAAATATATTCTGCTTTCATTTTATAATTCTAAATATTTAATTAAATTTTACATCACTTAAATTATCACATACAGAATCTTTCGTTAATAAATTTGTCATTTTAGTAGCCTAATTACCAAATAAAAAATTTAATTCATCCATATCTAATAATGCCGATGTCATTTCCTATAAAGAATTTAAACTAACTAAAAGATGATCAGAGAATTATTCAAATTCTGTTGAATTTAAAAATGTAAAAGTTGCTTTATAATATAAGGCTTCTTTCCAAGCATATACAGTTAATACATTCACACTAGTATCTGATACTTTTTAATAAAAAAGAGCAGTTTCTTTATAATTTTCTAAGTAATTTCTTATGACTATGTAAAATCCAAGGCTCAATCCAAAAAATATTAAAAAATGGAAATTTATTAAACATATCTACTTTTTTATTTACAAAGTTATTTATCTCTTTGAATTCATTTAATTTTATTTAAAATTTTTTTCTCTCATTTTTAACGATTTATCAATTGTTTCAATATCTAATCTGTATCCATAAACCATGTGTCTATTATTTAACATTTCGACCTAAAGTTATTTTAAATTAGCAATTTCTAATTCATTTTAAAGTAAATCTTAATTTCTAATTAATGTTAAAATCTTATTTTTAAATTATCTAATTTAAAATTTATGATAAACCTTCAAAATTATAAATAAAAAAGTCAAACAATCAAATATTATCAAATAAAGTTGATTATCTTTTATATTTATATTGCATAACATAAATGTCTAATCAAGAGTGAAATTTTACAACTCTAAAAACTTTTTAAACAAAACTATGTAATTTTTATATGAGTAATAAAAATAAGGACCATCTACGATAATCGATTTTATAGTGTAAGCTAATTTATACTCATATTAATAATTTAATAATAAATGAATAGCTTCACGAAAAGTTATATTATAGTCTACCCCAAAATTTGTTTTTTCATATAGGGTTATGATTTAATAATTTTCTTACAAAAAAGGTTAAAATTCAGGGATATTTAGTACTTTAGTAATGCTAATTTTTAAATCATCATATCCTGATAGTAAATTTTGATTTGGAAAATTGATCAAATATTAATATTCACTTTATGTAATAGCTTTTGTTTATAAAAGTGTATTATAAGTTAAAATAGTATATCTTGTTAATAAAAAAGATTCTATTGGTTAATAAATTTCATTTTTTATTGATAATAAATTCAGATGAGATATATAATCATTTATTTAATATGTAGTTACAATAACTTTGATAGAAAAAGTTAAAATTAAAATCATATAGATTAAATAAAAAATATTGAAAGCAATCAAATTACTAGATTTAATTTGAGAATTGATAATAGCGGAATATTGAGAAAATTTTTTATAATAAGGTGATCTTTTAATTTTAGTTATGCTTGATAAATTTGAGTTTTCATTCAATTCAATTTAAATTAATTGTTTTGATTTAAATATTGAAGTTTCTGTAAATTTTTTATCATAAATTTAATAACATTCTTAATTATTTTATAATAATTCCATTTAAGCTTCCTATCTTTCAGTATTTAAAATTATTTATTTTAAATTATCTTCCTCTAAATCGGGTATATTTATTACTATTTCTTCATCCATTTCACAAAAATATTCTGAATTTTAAGTCATTTTAAATTAACTAAATGAGTTTGCTCTATCTAATTTAAGATTATCAATTTTTAGTATATAATAATATGAATTATCATCAAAATGTCTATGAATAATATTCAAATGGCATGAATATAAAGAAATATATTCCATATCATCAAAATTATAATGAGTTTTAGATTTTGTTTTAGAATCATATTCATCTTAAAAATTTAAAAAGTTTATTGGACAATTTTTAATTTCATAAACTTTTTCATCAATATATTTTTTAAAATTAGGAATCACTTTAGATATATGAGTGCCTAATATATATTCTATTTGATTTTCTTATAGTTTAAAGCCATTTTAATATAGATAAAGACTTAATTCTTATATTTTTAAACTAGAATCAATTAATATTAATTATTTTTCACACTGAGGTGATCTATAAACTGAAATTATTTCAATATTTTAAGTGTTTTTATGATTTAAATCCATACATATATCAATAGGTTAAAAAATGCCATTCCTTATTTTAATAAAAGTTTCATCTATTGTTTAAAAATATTTATTTTATCCTTCTTATAAGAACCTTTCAATTAATTACTAATGGAAATTCTATAAAGATTGAGGAATTAAAGAATTTAATTGATTACCTTCTTTTAAAATAAAGTTTTCGTTTTAACTTGCAGAATGATATTTAATTTAAATATTTTATAAGTCATGAATTTCAAATATCACAAAACTAAAAGATTAACTTAAAAAATTAACCATTTCTGATTAATGATGTTTAAGGATAATATTTTCATCTAATGCAATTGTTTTACTAAACTAATAAGCATCTAGAATGTTGTTTAAAATTTAAACTTAGTATGTCATAAGTATGCTTTAATTTTATATTGCTATACATTAAAAACAAGTTTATACTTGGAAGTAATTCATAATTTGATTTCAACCTTATTAGTAATTTCTCTTACTCACTCAAAATTTAATGAACTTTATCACTAAAAATCTACTCGGATATTTATTGTTTCTTTATAAAATTGAGAAATTCTATTTTTTAATTTACAACATCCTTAAATATTGTTTGTACATCTATATTATTAGAATTAATCATTGAAAGTTACTTAATGGCCTGAGATATTGCTTAATTATTTAATCTTAATTATGAAGATTTTTGAATCATTTTATTTTGCATATTAGCTATGATTTTATCTTCTAAAATTTCAAGATATATTTTATATATCCAATTCAATTCGGCTCTTATGACTAATTTAAAAGCCTTTGTTGCTATTTTAGATGGATTATTTTTTTTATACTTAAATAATTATTCAATTATTTATTATGCTTCTACATAAAGACTAAGGACAATAAGAATTTATATATAATTGATGTATATTTACAATAATTTAAAAGGATTTTTAACCTCTCCTGAAAGAGATTCTAAACGTCTAAGAATATTTTGCATTATAAATTGCTAAATTACTTATATAGATTCTTTATTTAAATTTTAATTCATCAAGGTTTATAATTTTTCCATTTTATTTGAATTATGTTTAATGAATTAATATAAAAATAACTAATTTTTTTATTCATCCAAACATTCTCCATCAAAAATCATACATGATATATATTTTAATTCATCAATTGAAAACTACTCTAACTTATTTTAGATTGTAAATTAGTATAAATCAACCTTCAAACATTTCTGAATCACAAATATTTATAAAGGAAGTAAATATATTAAATCTCTAATAAAAAAAGAAGGAAAAATCTAGTTAAGAATTCCTAAAGTTCCTAATAATATTCCAAAACTACTGAAATGAATAATTAAATTTTGATAGTAATTTTTCATATGAATTTAATTTTACTAAATTTGTAAAATTTTATGAAGGAAATTTAAAATAATTATGATTGATTAATTTATAATTGCTACTTACTAATTTTCTGAAAAAATGTATATAATAATTTAGAGCAATTTAAAAAATAAATTAATGATACTAGTATAAGATTAATTAATTGTTAAATACTACAATTAAGGAATGAATTTCATACTTCTGTTTATAAATTACCATTAGCCAAATAAAATTATCGTAATTTATGAAATCAAAAGAAGACCCATACATATTAGATGTAATTGAGGTTTTGTCTATTTCAAGATAACAAGTAAACACATTTCAATTATGTTATTACTTAAGTAGACTTTATTTAGAAATAAAAATATAGAATTTATGTGTACCTTTAACCAAGTAATTTTTGAATTTTGTTGGAGGCGTTAAATTTCGTTTATAATGTTCTTTTATTCTTATTTACTATCAATTAAGCAACTATATATTCCTAGTACTATTAGTAATTAAATTATTAGAAACATAGCAATGAAGAATTATTAATTATCATCTTAAGTAAATATAAATATATGAGGCCGAGTGAAAAATAAAACAATTTTAAAAGAATTTTCAATAGAAAACATTGGTTGTTCTAAATAACTAATAATTTATAATTAGGCAATAAATCCAAAAATTAGTTAAATGAGTGTTGGTATTTCAGTGCTAAACTATTAAATAACTAAACTTGTTTTGATGACATTATTTAGTAAATTAAATCGGCTAATCATTAGTTAAAGTTTAATATTTAAATAATAGCAAAAATTTTTTAAGAATTAATACGAAATCAATATTTCCAATAATAATTAATCAATATCAAAAATGTATTTGCATATTTGTGATCATAAATTAATATTCTGATCAAAAGAAATTTTTTTATTTTTATACAAATAAATAACATGTCTAATTAAATAATGAGTATGCTTATATCTTTCAAAATATAATATAATAACAATTATCAAGTAATTTTTAACAATAATGTAGTAATTCATGTTCTCTTGTAAGTTATACCTTCACAATTTAAAGCATATTCAAAGACTCTTATTTGTACCTACTGATTCTTTTTACAATCTTCTTATTTCTTAAAACCAGATCTTATGATAATTCTTAGAATTTTTATTAATTTTCAAACTTTTCTGATATTCTTGCAATCATTTCTTTTTTTGAGTATCTCTGCTATTAAATTAAAGGCTATTATTTTAATTAATCAATATTCTAGATTTTTAATATAATTCTGTCTATTAAATCTTTATAATGTTCTTATAATAATAATTAACGTATTTTTTAAGCACAACGATCTTTAATATTATCTATCTAAATTGATTAACAAAATTATTCAATTAAGTAGAGAGAATGTAAGAATAATTTGGAGTGATTTTATTAATTTTATAAGAGACTTTGCATACATAAACTTGGTGTAAGTAATATAAAAAAATGATCAGAACTTGTATCATATTCATAAGGGTATAATATGTTTTACTCCTTAATTTATTAAATAGCATCATTTGATTTATATAATAACTCATATGTCTAAATTAAAGCAATTTTATTGAACTTCTTAATTTATAGATCTTCCATAATTTATTAGCAATCTATTGTTTTGATCCCTATAAATGCTATATTTGATGATTTTATCTAATAAATTGCACTTATTGGTAATTTGTTCAAATTTACATATTCAACTAATTACAATTACATATTTTCTGTAATCAGGATTATTTAATATGTTTTAGATAAGATAAATATAGCTTCTTTTAAGTTTTTTAAAACATAAATTTATGAGTTATGCATTAATTGTTGGAAATAATGTTATTTTGTATTTTAATACTCAAAATAAAGATCACTTTCTATAAAATCGAATTATAATCCATAATAGCTTCCTTCACAAAATCCAAGTAATTCATCAAATTAAATAATTACTAAATTAGTAATTTATTGATTAAAAGATCTTATCAAATAAGATTTCAATTAAACTTTATTAATCAATTCTTTTTTAGTAATTACATCTTGAATTATATTAGGAATAGGTGTTTATGGTTTATTTAGTTAAATTTTAATAAATTTTGATATATCTATAATTGGTTTAATTTAATTGTTTTAACAATCTATCGAATTACTACTAGGTGGAGTAGATTGAATTGTAGGTTTTGAAGCCAATTATGGTTTTATATCTAAACGTTCTATTGATAATTCATTGTTATTTTTTTTATAAACCCTAGTCTCAATATTTTTATTATGTTAAAACCTTCCTTTTATAAGTTTACCAGGTAGTTTAAAATATTCTTTTTCTTTTCTTTATTATTAATTATTAGCATTTGTTGGTTTTATTTTATATTTTGATAAAATAAGATCAGCATAAATATTCTTGCTAAAACTATTAGAAGATTCAAATGATTCTTTTTCAATTTTAGTTTCGCTTGTTTAATAAGATTTTGCACTTATTTAAGGCAAACTAATTCTTTATTCTTCAATCGAACAATTAAGTGTCATGAATGTTTAATAATCCTTCTTCCAATAACCTTAAATTAAGGCTTTAGGTGAATATGATTATTTTGTTCTTAATTCTTTTACTGAAATGGAGTGAACATAATGATCATTAACATAATACTATTAAATTGGATCAATTTTCGATAATGTTTGAATCATTATTTTTTATAATATAATACTAAAATATACTGAAATAGTTTTGGAGTAAACATGATTGTAGATATTAATTTAATGTACTATTCTGCTTTCTTAAATCAATTATAGGATATCATACAGAAAGAATTAAATCAGCTTCTAAAAAATTTAACTTATTTCAGAGTACAAAAAGAAAATTATAACTATTAGAAATTTCAGATATGTTTTATTATCTATTCAAATTCACGAAATTGAAGGAAAAGCTCAGAAAAGATAGTAGTTTTCTTTTTTGTTTTATAAACATGATTATCTTGTAGAATCACTAAATTAGTGCGTGTGTATATGATTCTGAAACATTATTAAATAATTTAGTTATTTTAAAATTTATTTGCAAGTTATAAAATAAAAAATAATTTGAATTGTTTGAGAAGATTATTGATTATTTGAAATATTACTATCATTTAAGATATCTAGTATAATTTTAATGATAATTATTAATTTAAAAATTGTATTAATAGTGTGCATATGAATGTAATTATTTTTTTAATTTTAAAATTCTAAAAAATTTAAGAGAAGAAGAATGAATAATAATAGAAAGGAGCTTAAATAAATAGTGGGGTAGAGTAAATATAATTAGATTTAATGGATCAATTGAAATAGTAATTGTTTTATTAAGGATAAATTTAGAAATATGAAAAATAGGATAAATTTTGAGAGTATGTCTTTTATGTATATAGAGTTTGAATAAAATAAAAGTATGTATATATATATACATTAATTTCCAGAAATTAAATAAAAAAAGAAATTAATTTTTTTAATATGAGTCAAGCACCATAGGCAGGATAATAATAAGCTCAGAAGGCTAGTACATTCAATAAATCTGAGAAAACAAAAGATATACGATTGACCAATATCTAGGCAGCAAAAGGTGAGTAAAATGTAGAGTATTGATTAGCTGTGGCAGATGCAATAAGAACAAGTTTAGGTCCAAGAGGAATGGATAAGATGATTTAAGATGCAAAGGGTTAAGTCTTAATAACTAATGATGGTGCTACAATCTTAAAGTAAATGGATTTAGTTCATCCTACAGCTAAAATGGTATGAATATATAATTAATGTATTAAAGTTGGTTGAAATTTCAAATGCTTAAGATGTTGAAGCAGGTGATGGTACAACTTCTGTAGTTGTTTTTGCAGGTGCATTGTTGAAATCATGTGAGGTATTATTAGAGAAGGGAATTCATCCAACAACAATTTCGGAGGGATTTTAATTTGCTTTAGAGTATGCATTGACAGCCTTGGATGAATTGAAAAAGCCAGTAGATTTAGAAAACAAATAATAATTAATTGAATGTGTATAGACTGCACTTTCATCAAAAGTTGTATCATCTAATAGTGCTTAATTGGCTCCATTAGCAGTAGATGCTGTATTGAGAATAGTTGATCCTGAGAAACCTAATAATGTTGATTTAAGAGATATTAAGATAGTTAAGAAATTAGGAGGAACCATTGATGACACAGAATTAGTTGAAGGAATAGTCTTTTCTAATTAAAAAGCTAGTTAAGCTGCTGGAGGACCATAATAAATTAAGAATGCTAAAGTAGCACTTTTATAATTCTGTTTATCTGCTCCTAAAACTGATGTTGAGAATTCAATTGCTATTAAAGATTATACAGAAATGGATAAAATATTAAAAGAAGAAAGAAAATATATTGTTGATTTAGTTAAGAAGATTGTAGCTTCTGGTGCTAATGTTTTATTAATATAAAAAAGTATTTTAAGAGATGCTGTTAATGATTTATCATTACATTTCTTGGCTAAAAAAGGTATTATGGTTGTTAAAGATATTGAAAGAGAAGATGTTGAATTTATTTCTAAAGTACTCATATTATTTATATTGAATAGACTTTATGTTTAGTTCCTGTTGCTCATATAGATTAATTAACTCCAGAAAAATTGGGTACTGCTGGATTAGTAGAGACAGTCCATTTAAATGATGAAAGCAAAGTTTTAAGAATAACTGAAGTTGCAGCATAATCCAAAGCTTTAACTATATTAGTTAGAGGATCTAATTAATTAGTATTAGATGAAGCTGATAGAAGCATTCATGATGCTTTATGTGTTGTTAGAAGTTTAGTAAAGAGTAAAGGATTGATACCAGGAGGAGGAGCACCAGAAATTCATTTATCATTAAGATTAACATAAATGGCTAATACATTAACTGGTGCTAAATCTATGTGTGTTAGAGCATTTGCTGATGCTTTAGAAGTTATACCCTATACTCTTGCTGAAAATGCAGGTATATATTTGTTTATCTAATTATTATAGGTTTGAATCCTATTAATGTTGTAACTGAATTAAGAAATAGACATCTTAAATCATAAAAATTTGCAGGTATTGGAATGAAAAAAGTAATTCTAATTATTTATTTAGAATAATATTGTTGATGATATTACAACTGAATAAGTTGTTCAGCCTATTTTAGTCACCAGAAGTGCTTTAAGTCTTGCTACTGAATGCGTTAGAATGATTTTAAAAATTGATGATTTGGTGATCTCAGCACGTTGATCCATTATATATTAAGTATATAATAAATAAATTAATGTTGAATAATTCAAGATCTAAACCTTAATTCAAACCTGTATTCAAATTCAAATCATTCTTAAATACCTTAGGTCTTCCTGAAGCTTTACAAAATTAAAGTGCTAAATTCAAAAACCCTATTGAAAATACTGAATTCCCATTATATCAACATATCAGTAGCTCAGTTAGAAAGAAAAGTTCCGTTGTTTAATAATCTCTCTTACCTACCATTACAAATAGAAAATCTCTTGTTATTGAACCTATTTCTTATTAGATTAATACACTTGATCATTTATTAGTAGATAAAAGCATTAAAAATAAAAAAATAAAATATAAGAAATTCAACAATTTAAGTATTAATATGAGTTCTAATGAATATATTAATTTAACTAATGATGAAATGTAACTCATCAAATCTATTAAAAACAACCCTTAAAAATAGTAAAACATAAATAAATCTCCAGATTAAAAAAAAACTAGAAAATAAAAGTTGATCGAATTTTTGAAAGGTTAAAATCAAAATATATAATTTACAACCATATTACAAAAGAAATATTTAAAAGATCAAGCTCCTTTACCACCTTTCATCATTACTAAATATTAGGAACTTCACTTTTGATCTTTTGTTATTTATTTTATATTAAGGATACGAAAATAATATTATAAAATTAAGGCAATCTCTCAATAAAATATATTAATATGATTTCATAATTAATATATAAATACTATTGCAACATAAGTTTTAGATACTTTCGAAAAATTCTTCAATAAAATTATATTGTAATATTCTATTTCTAATAGTTAATCTGAAGTTTAAAATTTAATTTTATTTGATATAAGATTATTTTATTAGATATTGAGAGATAATCTAATCAATTGAAGTAGTAGTAAATTTAGATTTAAATAAACTAAAGTAATGAATAATATATAAATTATGTTTATAACTAATTAAATTTAGTAAGAAATTGTATCTTATATATTAAAATTTAAAAAAATAAATCAGAATTTGATGTTCATTTATGCCTGAGAGTATTTAGAAAATTACCTAAGTTTGCTTTTTTACCGTATAGAATATATTCATATTAAATAGACTTTTTCTTAGTAGCTAATTAATAATAAAAAAGAAGTATTACTTTGAAAATGTGCTGGACCATATGCTTTTTTAAGATCTGTTTATTTTTTTGTTAAAGTTGGTAATTTAACAGAATCTAAGAGATGCAGATTCTTATTCTTAAAAGAATTTTGTAAGATTTTATTGGTTTAATTAAATAAAGTCTTTTTATGAAGTAAATGGGAAGTATTTTAATCTTCTTCCATTAAGGAATCATCACTTATTAAAATAGATATTAATACTTTTTTTTTAATAATTTGATAGATTATAGACTTGTTTCTAATAATTTTTATTATTCTTAATCTCTTAATTCTTTAAAATAAGGATGTCTAAGTGCTTATTTAGCATTAATTCTTTCTTCTGGATCATAGACAAGCATTTATTTAATTAAATCAACAAGATCTTTAGGAGCATGAGGTATTAAATTATCTAATCCAGTTCCAACTTTATATGGGAAATTGATTTCCATATGTGTAGCATGTTTTCTAAAACGATCAAGAACTTTAGGATTTGGTGTTCCCAAAATATTATGTATCCGATGTACTTAATCTAATTCATTACTTCCAGGAAATAAAGGGAATAAAGCTGTAATTTCAAATAAAACACAACCAGCTCCCCATATATCCATTTTACTATCATAATAACCATCAGTCATTAAACATTCTGGAGATCTATACCATCTTGTTGATATATATTCTGTATATGGATGTTTAGAATATATTCCTTTACATGAACCTAAATCAGCCAATTTTAGATGATCTCCGAGTAATAAGATATTCTCACTGAAATCTAATTTATTAAAATCTTACGGTTTTATATCTCTATGAAATATATTATTAGAATGCATAAAATCTATTGCTTTTAGTAATTAATAGGTATAACTTCTAATCTTCTCTTATTTTAATGGCATTTTTTTACCTAAATATTATAGATTTTGTACTCTTACCTTTAATATGTTCATACAGATTTTATTCCATCAATTCAAATACCAAAGCTAATCTACCAGTAGGTTCATCACTAATTATTATGAACAATATTTTACTATAATACTTCTATTAATTTTATAATATGTTCGTGATTTTATAACTTTCTCAATGCTTGAATTTCTTTGAGTTTGTTAACCAATATTAGAATTAAAATACAATACTTAGTCAATTGTTTAGAAAACTTGCTTCATGCATTTTATTGCAACTAATTAATTTGTTTTTATTGATTATGCTTTTATAACCTCCGAAAATGTACCTTCTCCCTTCTTCGTTATCAATCTATAATCTAACCCATTACTATAAGAAATATACTTTACATCTTATTTACACTTATAAAATAATATTAATTCTGTTTTTGTTATCTTTATAATTAGAATTAAAATAAAATTATGATCTTTTTTAATACTCTTAATATCTTTCATAAATAACTTTCTAATTTTATAATTATATATCTAATAACAAATCTATATTTCAAGAATTTGTTAAATATACTATAATTTAATTAAAAAATACATAATCTTTAATATATTTTAACTTCCATATATTTATATTTAATAAGCCTCATTATTCAAATATTTATTTCAAAATTATAGTAACTAAATTATATATTGATAAACTATAAATTCAGTTGGAAATATTATCTAAGTTTATAAGATTTCATTTTAAAAAAAACTCATTTATCATAAATATTATTTAACTCAATTGAAACCTAAATCTATTTCTTTGGAAATAATTCTTAATTACTATTTGATTATTTAAGTAATTTAGGGGGTATCATAATTCATCTTTTCTTAATATTTACTAAATAGAAAACTTAATAATAAAAATTAAATAAAAATTCATGGGTGTCTGCAGTGGCAAAACTTCAAATAAATATTAATAGAATAATCGTAGCTCGAACTTACTATAGTCATAAACTGTTTAATTAAATTAATAAAAATAAAACTTGATTGAAAATTAACATGCTGCTACTTTACCTCCAGCTGCTACTTACCCATAACAAGAGCCAGCTAAATAAATAAATCTATAACAAAATCCTGTAAAACCTGAGGAAAGATAGCAAGAAATGATTGTATAAAATTTTGACGAAGATTTATACATTAATGATATCATGAAATAGTTTGATGATTTAAATAATCTATTTAATCAAGTAGGACTATTTTATTTATTTTTATAGATGGCATCAGAATTTGATTCAATATCATAGTATTTGTTATCAATGTCTGGAAATCAAGGAAATCCCCCATGAAAATTTTTGATTATTAAATAATATTTTTTATAATAAACCTTAGGCTATCAATCTAAATCTTATTCTCTTTTATTATTTAATCTAATCTTTTAGTTAAATCCAAATATAACAATAGGATGAATAAGTCTTATATTAATATTTAATTTTTAATAAAAATCACCAAGATTATATCCTACAAATTATTGATTCCAAAAATTAAAATTTGATTAAGATCTCCTACTTCAAAATTCATTTTGTATTTTAATTCTGAATCAGTATTATATGATTTTTTTAGATTTTATGAACTTGAAAGTTATAATAATAGTATTTTTTTTATCTTTTGAGGCCATACTAGAATTAAATACTTTTTAATAAATCAAAAAACCAGAAGATCATTCTAATTTCTAAAAAAATTCAAATTTACAAAATAGAATTATTTCAAACTAAATTTTTATTTTAAATAGTGATTTTATAATTAATTATATACTTAATTTAGTGTAGAATAAGATTACAGATATTGTTAATTTAATTATAATGAAATATATCCATCGATTAGTAATAAAAATATTTTATTCATAAATATTCCTTATTTTTGTCCATGTAAACTAATAAAAATTTATAATCTACAAATAGATCATTTTTTGAAACAATAATATGTCAAGAAGATTAAAATGGTTTATTTTAAAGAATTAATTTTAGATGAACATGTGTTTGAATAAAATAAAATAAATTAAAAATTATATTGTTTAGTATGATTTATAAAAATTTATAAATGAAATTAATTGCTATAATTCTTATAAGCATTACTCTTAGAATTTATGTAGCTTTTGGTGGTTATTCAGGAATGAATGATCCACCTTAATTTGGAGATTTTGAAGCATAGAGACATTGGATGGAGTTAACAACTCATTTAAATGTTACATAATGGTATGAAAAAAGTGATTTTAATGATCCAAAATGGTGGCCTTTAGACTATCCTCCATTATCTGGATATTTCGCATATTTATTAGGTAAAATAGCTGAAAAATTTGATCCTGAAATTATTGCTCCTTATTCATCAAGAGGTATTGAAACATTTAATACTAAACTTTTTATGCGAATAAGTGTATTTATTTCAGAAATAATATTTCTTTATCCACCTTTGTTATATTTAATATATAAGTAATAGTTTAAATAATAATTAATTGCATTATGTTGTCCATTATTAATATTAGTGGATCATGGACATTTTCAATATAATTGTATCATGCTTGGATTAACATTATATGCAATAATATGTTTAGAGAAAGGAAAACTTGAATTAGGTTCCATATTTTATGTAATGGCTTTACATTTCAAAGTTATGTCTCTCTATTACTCTTTGCCATTTTTTATTTATATTTTATCAAAAACTTATAAAAAACCCATAAAGGTAATTTTTGTTGGAATTACTGTTATTTTAACAACACTTATAATTTGGTTGCCTTGGTTATCAGACATAAAATTAATATAAGAAGCTATATCAACGATATTTCCAATACATAGAGGATTATATTAACTTCATGTTGCAACATTTTGGTGCATTAGTCATATTATAGTCAAATGGAATTTAATGTTTAATAATCAATTACTCTTTAGAATAGCTGCCATTTTAACATTATTATTTTCTATCCCCTCTCTTATCAAACTATTTAATAAGCCATAATTATTTAAACAAACATTATTTATTGTTTCTTAGACCTTTTTTTTATTCTCATTTCATGTTCATGAGAAAACTATACTTTTACCAATCATTTTATTATTAATATCTTAGGAAGATTATGGATATTTAGTTTATGATTATACTATTATTGCAACAATTACTCATCATCCTTTAATGATTGAAGATAAGTTATTTTTTGAATATTGTGTTTTATTAGTTTTATTTTTTATTTTTACAAGAAACCATTAAACTCCAAAAATTTAAGATTCATGGCTTTTAAGATTTTATTCAAAAATAAGAAATGTAATATTTTTTTATTTATTTTAGATTCCAGTTTTGATGTATATAGTTATTTTTATTTGCTAGAAATTGATATAACCTCCATAGAGGTTTCCATTTTTATATGAATTAAGTATGCAAATTTTAGGGTTTAGCATGTATACATTTATGTATTTAATATCCCATTAATAAAATATGAGAGTAAAAAATGAATGAATATGAAAGTTTTCATAAAATTTAATAACATTTTAATTCATTTTTTGTTTTATTAAATTGTTATTTGTTTATTTATTTTATTCTATCAAGTAATGTATATCTTGGTATGAATTTTTAAATTTCTTTAAATTTTAAATCTATATTGAGAAATAAATGTTCTATAATTTTAAATCTATCTATATTTCTATTGATGTAATGATAATAATTTACTTTTTATAGATTTAAGATGGTAATTCTTTGATATTTACATCTTCCAAACTTCTAAAAATATTTATTATTTTGTATCGTCAAAATTATCATCAGAATTTCTAACTTCCCATTCAGAATTTTAACCAACTTATTAATCAAAAGGATATATCATTGTTTGATATAATTTTTTAAATAATTTTTGAATGTACTCATAATTTGAATCTCCATCAAATGAGATTTTTTATTTATATTAAAAATACTCTTAATATTTTGGTAAACCAGAATTATTTTATAATTGATAAATTAATATGATAATTTTTTAATTGATGTAGTAATTTCTTTTACCTTTAAGTCTAATTTTTTTCTTCCTTATTTATTGGATTAATAATATTCATATAAGTAATAAACCTTTCAAAAAAAGTAGATAGCCAAATATCCTAAACTTTATAAATCACTGCCTCTACTTTAAGATTGATATAAAAGAACGCAAATTGGGCAGAATATAGACTTGATTAAGTTATTCAATGAGAGCTCTAAAAGATATTTTCATTTTTCTATTGATATATTATACCTATTTTTTTTTAAATTAAGCAAATCCAAGATCAATTAGATATGTTTAATTTACTTTCAAAATGTCATAAAGTCTGGTTTAATATCACTATGAATATAATCATTCTGATGTAGAAAATATAAATGACTTATTACTTATAAAAATTAAAACAATCTTGAGTGAAAAAACTTTCCTTGGAGTTTGCATTTAAGGTTATCCAATTTTATATAATTAATAGCTAATTATAGATGACCAAAATTCTTATAGGATAAAAAAACATATGAACCGGAATTTATTGGATTAAGGATTTGATAACTAAAAAAAAAGAGTTTATCTGAGCATTAAATTTCAGTTGATTTCTAATAGATTCTTAAAAAAGTAATTAACTGTATTTATATATATTTTGTTTATGAAATATATTCTCGATAATATTTGAATATTCTAATAATTTTAGAATTCAATTTGAGTCGAAGTTTGAATTAAATTTACTTTAACTGTTAGTTTTAAAAAAGTATTTAGATTTAAAATATTTTTTTAAATTCCTAGATATTAAAATGGTTGAAAGATTAAATGATATAAAACATTTTTATTTTTTTTAAATTATATTAATTAAATAAAGAATGTAGAAGAGGGCAGAGGATGCAAAGAAAGAAGAGTAGTTATTCATATACTTATAGAAATCATACGGAGATGCATAAAAGGTATTGTTTCTTATAGATTATAATAGGGAACACATAATTCAATGAATAAAATTATAGAAGAAGTATGCCGAAAGAATAAAGACATACCATAAATAGTTTTGTGGGTTGAATTATTTAATCGGTTGTTACTTTAATTGCAAAGAAATGGCAATGATGCCAAAATAGTCATCGATATAGTATTGTATAAAATACCATGGTTCACTTCTGAAAATCATTTTTAAGTCTTGCCTTAATTCAAAAAGATTTTATTTACCATTCTATCTATATCTCCATCATAATTAGTAACAATCTATCGTTTTTTGGTTTAAAAGTTGAGTCTTCAATTGTATATGCACTATTATCTATTTCAGGTTAATTGATTCAGAATAAACTCGAGATGATATTCCATGTGAAGTGTTTGGTTAATCATATCCAAGTAAAGCGGCTTTGTAATAGCAGATATTAATTATGACTGAAACCTATTAATTGACTACAGAAAATTAGATTGTTAAACTTTCGGAATCTCACAAATTATTTATTAAAGAAATATTGATTCATCATCCCAAAGCTGATGAAAAGTTAAGAAATATGATCGATATTGGATATGGATATTTCCCATCTAAAAACAAATCAAAATGTTTCTATATTATTAAAAAGGTAATAGATTAATAATATATTTTGTAGGATAATTCTTATGAAGATATCTCATATATTAAAGCAATTGATGGATTATATAATAATATTTACAGAGATAAATATTTCAAGAGCAGCAATAACATTCATTCTGATGCAGCAATTTAAATCATTTGTGAAATTATTTAAATCTATAAATTAAGTAAGGAAAAGTTTATAGAAACACTTTCTGATTTATTTCCGCATAAAAATTAAAGTGAAATTCATTAAAGAGTTTATGCAACTAATTGTATGAAATTGAGTGATCGTATTCCTGAATTACGTTCTCGTATCTTTAAGATGGTTTATATAAAAATTTTATAAATTGATTCTGAAATAAAGTATGATCCTTAATACAATAATTTCATTATTAAAACCACTCTATAATAACATTTGAATAAAAAACATAGAGATGATATGTGCAAAAAGGTGGATCATTTATTATTTATTTTATTTGATTATTTGGATTCAAAGTTAGGAATTGAAAATAAAAGCATTTTTTAAATGGAATAAAATGAAGATTTAATATTTAAAATATTTCGAGAACTGTAATCAGTATTTTAAGAGATTATGTTAAAGAATCAATATTACAGAATGGCTCATTATATATTTTTATATTTTTGTTCTTTGCCTAATTCTTTATCAAGAATTAATTAGCTATTTCTCTCATAATTAGTATAAAACATAAGATCTGTAATATATTATAAATTTATCATAGAATACACTCTCAAAAATTGAAAAAATTAATTCTCTTTATTATTTGTCATCATTATTAGTTCGATGTAATTCAATAAAATGCACAGTTTTTGTGAAAGCAGTTGAATTATTATTAGAATATTTGAATGATAGATCTTAAAAAATTGAGATTGAATTAGAACATCATCTTATTTAAATGATGATATTTTTAATATCGACTAAATCTACTTAATTAGAAATCTTGAAAAATTAAATACACGAAACAATTCTTAGGAAAAGTTCAATTTTATAATATATACATTATGATATTTTGGTTAAATTCAATGAGGTTTTATTAAGATCGAAATCAGATGATTTGAGATAAAAACTCATTGAAATAACTGCAAATACGATATCAAAACATATTGGTAATAATTGTTAAGGTGATTTGATTACAAATTATCACAGTCCAAATACACCTTAAAAATTGATTTATGATCATGAGAGTTTATTTTCAAGAACATCAACTTAGAGAACTGTAATCCATAAGAATCAATTAGATTTTTATTAACCTTTCAATAGTATGACTTTAATTTACTCTGAACCTTTTATTAAAGCTTTCTACAGATATGATTAAGAGTTAATAAAAGATGAAGGTGGTTCATTAAATGATAGTCATATAGAAGAAAAAAGAATACCTTAATTCTGTGAGATAGATAAACCATAAAAGAAAGTTAAATAATGAATTGCTTTAATTTATTTAATTTTATTTAATGTAATTAGTCAACAATGATCTGGTAATCCAATCTCAGCATTAGAAACAGAGGTAGATAATCCCATCCATCTTCTCATTTCAATAATAATTTCTTTATCTCTATGAACTCTGGTATCTAAAGAGATAAAAATAAATAATTACATTCTCCTTATTGCCATTAACCATTTTGATAAATAGTATAACCACAAACATTAGGATTATGTGCTTTTTTATATGGAACTGATTTAGAACAACCAGAACAAGCTGATCCAATGCATCTAGCACAATCTGAATGACCATCAGGAGGTGCTTATGCTCCATTTGAATCTATAAATGAATAAGATGATAATATCAATTTAATTTACCAATTACCATCTGTTCTAAAGAATAATTATTTATTAAAATAACGATGTCTATCAACATTTCTTTCTTTAATTAAAACACTTCCTTTATCTTACATATCTCTACTAGATGATCCTGGATTTTAATCATCATGACAATCTTATTATGCTGCAAATCTTTCAGATGATATTGGCCACCAACCACAAGCAGGATGTTCTTTTGGATAATCAGAACTCCATATTTTTATTTTATAAATATCAGAATCACTTAATCCTGCTTATTTCATAAAATTATCAAAGGATTTTCCATAATTATACCAATTTTCATTACACATTAATAAATCTTTTTCACCACCAATAATAACTTCTAAATATGCAGTGAAATCATCTGGTAATTTACCTCCCATATTATTTGCTAATTTTTTAAAGATATATGCTAAATTTTCAGGACTAATATGTTTAGCAGCATCAATTCTAATACCACTAATACCTATTGAAAGTAAATCAGTTATATAATCAGCAATTCTTTATCTAACATAATCTGATTCTGTATTTAAATCACCTAAATTAACCAACCATCCATAATTCAAAATAAATCCATCATTCCAAGATGAAATAGGTCTTGCACAATGGAAATCTAATGGACCATATGGTACAGCTGGGAATTCCATACCTGGTCTAGCATTTGACCATGTCCAATTTTAATAAGCAAATCCTTATGTATACCAAGGTGAACCACCTGAACTATTTTTATTTCCCCAATAATTAGAACCATAACAATGAGATGGGAACATATCATTACCATTACCACTCATATGATTTACTACTGCATCTGCATATACTCTCAATCCTTTTGATCTACAAGTATTAATCATTTTTCTTAATTATTCTACTGTACCCATACGAGAATTTAAACGGTATGATACTGGTTAATACATCCAATACCAGGGATTCAATTCTCCATTTTCTGGATGTTCATAATCCAATATTGATTCTGAAGGTGGAAATACCTTTACTCCTAAATATCCTGCTTTTGCCATCATCTCACATTCCTATTCAACATCTTCATATTTCCAACCAAATAATTCTACAACTGCTCCCTTCTATCCATTTTTAAAATGACTAGATTAATTCACTGTAGGATGATTCCATACAAAATCTACAGGTTAAAGATCCAACTAAGCAATTATTATATCACCACCAGCTTTCAAGTAAACCTTTACTTAAACTTCACTTCTTGGAGCTGAAAATTATTTTGTTGGAGATGTCTATAAATCACCATCAAAACTATAAAATAAAGAACCTTAATATTCTGGATTTACTCTAGTATATATTGACACAGTGCAGGATCGAAGATCTGAACTATATTTTTATTAAGCATATCCTTATAAAATATGATAATCTTAATATCCTTCACTAAATTATTATTTCTTAATAGTACCGCCATAAAGGATCTCCTTTTGGTGGAGTTTGAAAGTTTCTATTAAACCAATCTGATGGATTATCAGTCTATGATCCTTTACATCCATTGTCATTATCAAAATTATTACACCAATCCCTCAAATTCTGCTCTTTATTTTATGGACTCAATTAGTATAGCATACCAGCCATTATTAACACAGCTGACAATACCTATATTAGCTATTTCATTATTTTATAAAATGCTTGTTCAACTTAGTGACACACTTTTATACGAACTAATATGACGTATTTTTCTTATTGCCTTAAATATATTTAAGTATAAATTTTGATTATAATCTATGTATTTTATAATGATATTAAACTGAATGTTTCATAAATTAGCTAAATTGATCATTTTGAAATTAGGACCATTCCCTTCTAATGCAATCTGAAGCACTTAATCTATAGTTTTCACTAAATGAATAGACATTTTTTCCTTTATTTCAGGTTCTATATCCACTAAATTAGCCTTATTCCTATGAGGAATAATGACACTAAAATATTTTTAAATCTATACCTAAAGATTCCACTTTCAAAAGCTCCAAGAATTTTTTCTTTTATTCCTCCCACTGGTAACACTCTGCCTGTCAAAGTAATTTCACCTGTCATAGCAATGTCATTTTTCACTTTTAAACCTGTAAGTAATGATACTATTGCAGTTGTTATAGCCACTCCTGCAGATGGCCCATCTTTTGGAGTAGCACCAGCAGGAAAATGAATCTATATTACTAATAATAAAAGAATACATGAATATCAAGAGTATCAAAATTAACATGTTAATTTGTTTTACTTAATAATTTTATTTAAGGCCAATATGCTTTTATCCATCCAATTGCTGTTCTTACGCTTTCCTTCATTACATCTCCTAACATACCAGTTATTTCAAATTTGCCTTTTCCTTCCATTTTCACTGATTCAATTATTAATACTTTTCCTCCTGCTGGAGTCCATGCTAATCCTTTGCATACTCCTGGAATTTATATAACAGGAGTAGTATGCTTATCAGAATGAATTGATGGACCTAATATTTCTATCAAACTATCTTAATCCACTACTATTGTTTTAAAATTCTATTGATCTGTTATATATTTTAAAGCAATATTTCTATAAATCTTAGCTATTACTCTCTCTAATTATCTAACACCTGCTTCACCTGTATATTATTTTATTATTGAATGAATAATCTCTTAAGGTATCGTAACTTATTCGTTTAATAAACCATTTTTTTAAAGTTACTTAGGTATCAAATAATTATTAGCAATAGCTACTTTTTCTTTAACAGTATAACCTACAATTTCAATTAATTCTAAACGATCTCTTAATGCTGGTTGAATAGTTTCTAATTGATTAGCTGTAGCTATAAATAAGACACTGCTTAAATCGAATTCAATATTCAAATAATTATCCATGAAATGATTATTTTATTCAGGGTCTAAAACTTCTAATAAAGCAGAACTGGGATCTCCTCTATGATTAGATGTTAATTTATCAATTTCATCTAATAAAATAACAGGATTTTTGCATTTGACTTTTTTGATAGCTTAAATAAAAGATCCTGGAAATGCACCAACATAAGTTCTTCTATGACCTCTAATTTATGCTTCATCTGATACTCCTCCTAAGGCAATTCTATAAAAGGGACGATTTAAAGATTTAGCAATACTTTGGCCAAGTGATGTTTTACCAACTCCGGGAGGACCAAAGAAACAAATAATTGATCCTTAACCATTAGAATCAACTACTTTTCTTTCTTTTCTTAATTTTTTAACAGCCAAGAATTATAATATTCTCTCTTTTACTTTAGTTAATCCAAAATGATCAGCATCAAGTGTTTCTTTACATTTATCAATACTTAATGTTTCTTCAACCTATTAATTCCATGGTAATTATAGTATTAAATCAATATAATTCCTTGTTACATTAGAATCAACACCCATAGATCCTTTTTCTATCTTTTACATTTCCTATTCAACTATCTCTCTAACATGTTCTGGTAGATTTGCTTCTTTTATTTTAGCTTGTAATTTTTCAATATCATTATTCTTTTATTTTTAATATGGAAATCCTGGCAAATTTGCTGGAATATTATTAGATTTAACAACCTATTTAGACATTTATTGCATAAGCTCTTTAGATACTTTTTATTCTAGAGCTTTTGTTTAAGCAAATTCTTCAACTTTAGTTTTCAAATATTAAATCAATAGATTGATCTTTATTTTATGATCATCAATTTATAAGAGTTTAAGTTTCTAATTATATGGTAAATCAGCATTGCTTGCTATAATAAAGAACAATTTATTTATATTCTTTTCTTCTTGTATTATTTATAAAAATTAAGGACTTGGATTCATTTAGAATTATTCTAGATATTACTATTTTATCTATAATTCTTACTTTTGCTAGATCTTTCAAATTATCAATCATTTAAGTATTCCACAGTGCTTATTCATCAACTATTTCATCACTTAAGACTTCAGCTGAAACCATATAGTATGGAGTAGATTTTATAATTGAATCTATTTTGATTCTAGCAAATGAAAATGCTTGATAAATTTTATTAGATGCATAGACACTATATAATTTAATTAGATAAATACGTATAGTCTTCACTTGTAAGACGCACTAAAGTACCATATTAGCTAAATCTTTAAATCTTTTGAATTCCATCCATTTGTTGGTCAACCACAGGTATTATAGCTACATAGTTGTTATTCACTTTTGCATCATAGAACTGTAATTCTGTTAGTCTCAGTTTTAAATTCTGATAGGGGTAAAGTACAGTTCCATGGATAGGAACGACAAAAACATTAATCTTTTTCATTTATTAATATAATAAATAATGGCAAAGTAAGATGCTGGAAAAAATAACAAGAGAGATCGTAGTCCAGTAGCTGTAATTATATTTATAAATATAGGAAATGAAAATATGGTAAGAGGCTGTAAGGAAAGAGAATTAGCATCTTAAAGTATATGAACATTTTACAATCAATCCACACAAATGTATATACAACTGTTATAAATGCTAGTATACATAATCTAAGAAAAACCAAATAATAGCATCATGTTATAAAAGCATCTTGAAAAAACAGGGGCTGTATAAAAACCAGCATTTGATGTAAATTAAATAACAGATGATTCACCACCTTTAGAAAGTAATATAATAGTTTTTTATAGATTAGAGGATATCATTGATAAATTAAATACAATGAATAGAACTCCTCGTTAGAAATATCAATTTCCATAGACTTCTAATTAAGAACTAGGATGGCATTCAGTTGTAAAATATTGACTAGTTCTTTTTAGAATTCTCATAGTCTATCTCCATCAAAATTCACTTATCCTAGAAAACTTTGTAAGGAAACCAATTATGCAAATGATTACTTTACAATGAATAAAATAAGTCCATATTCAAATAAGTTTAAATGAGTCATATTTAGATATGTTATATTTTATAAAAACCTCATTTTTATTATTTTAAGCTGTTAATTAATTCCACTCCTCCAAGAACCTGAATTTTTTAACATAATATCTATCCTACTTTTTCAAAATGATCGATAGCTTCATCCTCAATGACTTAAGTTCCATCAACAGCTAAAACTCTGCCTTTGATGTAAACTGTTCCATCTTCTCTACATTCACTGTAAACAGCAATTGGTAATCTACATCCTCCTTCTAATTAATTAAGAAACATTCTTTCAGCTACACATCTCTTTTAAGCATCAACATCATTTAAAACTTTTAATCTATCTATTGTTTCCAAATCATCTTTTCTACATTAAATTCCTAAAGCTGCTTATGCTGGTGCATATAAGAATTCTTTTTCCTCTAAATCAAAAGAAATTCTATCAGCTAAACCTAATCTTAAAATTCCTGCTTTTGCTAGAATTATAGCATCATATTATCCTTCATCAAGCTTCTAAATTCTAGTATTTAAATTTCCTCGAATATTAATTAAATTTAATTTTGGATATCTATTTCTAATTGTAGCTATTCTTCTTAGTGATGATGTACCCACATTAAATCCATCAGGTAATTCACCTAAGCTCTTGTAATTATATTTTTTATTCAATAACACCACATCTCCTCTTTATTCAAATTTTGTATATGCAGCTAAATACAATTCATTATCTATTATTGTTGGTAAATCTTTCAAAGAGTGTACTGCAACATCTGCCTTTTATTCAAGTCTATTATATTTACTTATAAAAACTTACAAATACTATTCTACCTGCTTTGTAAATACACCAACTGTAGGCATTTTATATAAAGGATCTTACAAATTTACATCCCCAACCTCATTTGATACCTTTATTATCTCACATTCTTATTTTAATTCACTTATCACATAATTTGTTTAAGCCATTGCTAAGGCTGAAGATCTAGTAGCAATTCTTAATTATCTTTGCATATACAAAATTATTTAATAATTTCTTTATATTTATCAAATTTTTAAAAGTAACATCTTAAAAATTATATTCTTCTAAATATTGTATTTTTCAATCTGATGTAATTTTACAAATATTTATTATATGTTTTGATACCATAAAAATATGATTTGAATATTTTAACTAAAATAATAATAAAATGATATTATTCCTACTTATTTGATTAGTAAGAATCAGTTATATATAATTTAGATTATATTGATAAAACTTGTAATAATAATTATGAATATATTCCGTTTTAGAAAATTAGAGAAGGTAAATGGAAATGGTAAGATGTAAACTAATAGATGAATGATGAATAAATAATTCTAAAAGAAAGAAGAATATTAAAATAATAATATAATAGTGATAAGTTTGTGTATCCTTAATTTTATTTTTAAAATAAATGAGTAGAAATCAATCCAGATAAACATCAGCAGCTTAACCAACATAGTAATAAGTATCTAAAAATCAACCTCCTGCTCCTGCTCCAGCACCTGCTAAAGGTAAAGCTCCTG